GGAAAACTCGGATGGAGGCTCTACTCATGCAGACAGTGACAGAAACTCGGGGGAAGGAAAGCAGCCCCTAGAAAGGGTAGAGAGGATGGCAGTATCTGGACACTTGGGATATAAAGGATGTGTGTGTTGGAGGTAGCAGGGCAGACTCAGCAGGAGGAGGAAGGAAAGGAAAGACCCAAGACCTCAGATGTGGGTGTCCAGACTGAAGAGACTGGAATTTTCAAAGGAGGAGGAGGAGGAGGTGGACAAGGGACCTAGGAAGAGTGGGGGCATCTAGCAAGTCAATGAGGATGGAGACCCAGAACTCCCTTTTGAGTGGGGTCACATCATCAAAGAGGATTCCTGAAGAGGGGTCCTAATGCAGCTGCAGGTCCCAGAAAGGAAGAGGGGGAAACAGCAAAACCCTTGACCTCCTCCTTGGCCCTACTGTTGTGTGAAAGGACATTAAAGCAAGAGCTGTGTCACCCGAGAGAGACCAAGCCAGGAGAAACGACACCAACCCAACTCTGATACTGAAGGAAGCCTCAAATGGAATTCCGGCATCATCTCCAGGCTGAGCCCATGAATCCAGTGAGAGGGGAAGCCCAGACCCAGGCGAAGCAAGTACCCTACCCTCATTGCAGGCATATTGGCCCTCACTTCTGCAGGTTTCCAGGTTTGGGATAATGTGGGGGTTCCATATGGACCAAAGACAGCCTCTCACCTGCCCTAGTGCCATTATCCAGTATCAGGGAGTGATCTGGGGCTAAACCAGGAACAGCATTTGTCAACTAGCCTTGGAGCAAGCTGAACCAGTGAAGGTCATTGGGTTGCACCCCCTTCCCTGTTGAAATAAACCCCATTTTTAAAGAAGCAAGTGGTGTCAGATTAATGGATCAAGGTATGCAGGAGGGACTCCTCACTGAGTAGGCTAGGGTTGGCAGGGCTCACCAGGCTAAATTAGGCTGAATAGTGTTACTAGGAGGCCTGGTATGCCATTTAGTGTGATCCTCACATCCAAACGGCATACGGAGCTCACACAATCCTATCTGGCCTGCTGTCAAATTGCCAATATATTTTGTCTTAAGAAGAAAATCACTTCAGGATATGGGAAATTAAACAGTTCCTTGACTCATGGAAGAGCTGAGAAAGTGAAATTTTTTAAAAAGTATATTAAGTGTATTCTGGTTAAGAAAAGTCAAAGCACCCCTCATCGCCTCCTCCTGCTTCCATGATGAAGTTTCCCATTTTTCTTTTATTTTTTCAAGTGACACAGGACATTAATACACCTTTAAGAAAACAAATTCACTTACTTGGCCCCTCCATGCACCTCAGGAAGTGTTTAATCTGGCAATATCCTGAAGTGGCTCTGTTCTTAAGCCACTTCAGGATATTGGGCAATTGATAGGAGGGTCCACTTTTGGTTACTTTCCAGTGATTGCACAAATTGGGAACAAATTTTTAAAAACTGACTCTTCCCTCCCCCCCCCGCGCTGAAAATAAAAATCCATGACAGGGGTCAGAAAGGTGCAAGTACAACCATTCTGGGGGCAGGCTTGTTTGCTCCAGCAAAGATGTCACCTGATTGCCATCTTTAGGAGTGAAGCAGACCAAACAGCAGGCTGAACACCTGTGTAGTCAGCCTCTTTTTGCTTGCCCTGCTAACAAAATTTACATTGGGTGGACAAGACTTTGGTTGATTCTCCTGTACAAAATGATGACGCTTGATTATACTTTGAAAAATCATACTTAATTTAGATTCAGAATGATCTGAAGACTTCTTCGGGAAAATATCTACCTACCAAAGCATTTTACAGCGTATATACAAAAGCAGCATGGCTTAATTATTGCTTAATTGACAGTTGCAAGTAAAAGTTCCTTGTGTAACTGCTTCTGGTAAAGATTCAATTAAACAATAATCCTATGATACTAAAAAAAAGTGAATACTGTACACTGGAAAGAGATGGAGACTGGCTGCTATGGCTTCTCTTCCCCCAGAGATAGTTTACTTATCCCTTTCAGCAGCAGGATGAGATGCTTAGCTGGGGTTGCCCCTTTGAACCTGATAAATTATGGACAGCCTGTGTCAGTAGGTTAAAATCAGTAAAGGCACAGAAGGGCTTCGTGCAGCCATTCATGCAACCGTGGGTAATTTGTCACATGGTTTTGACGATTAAACATGTGAGTTAGAACAAAGGACTCAAATGGAAAATGATGATTGCAGCAATGTCTTAGAGCCAAATTTGAAACTATGGTGGAAGTGATACTTGATTTTTACTTGGCTGTCCTATTCATATATAAACTTGGGGTGTGTGCCTATTTAATCAAAAGAGATATACAAAGAATGGGACTTTACTCGTTCCTATCTCATCTCCCTATGTTTAATTGTCTCAGCTTCTTTTTTTGATGCCCTAACTCTGATTCCATATGTGAGCTATATTTGTGTAGTTAGTGTGGGCCTGGAATTAGCATACTAGTCTGCTGGAGGTTGGGGAGGGCCACTATATCTGCATCTTAAAGAAAGAATGAGAAAGAAGCAACCAGAATGTTACTAACGGGGTGCTCGTAGGAACAAGGAACAAGGCTTTCTTGTATACATTTAAGATTCGAAGTAAATGGAAAAACAGAACTGGAATGCTTTGGTGTACCAAGGCATTGAGATAAAACAGCCTGACAAGCAAGGTTGATCTTTGTGTCCTTAGCCAGTGGTTAAAGAGAAAGAAACGGGAGGCAAAACCTCACAAAGCATAATTAAAGATTCTTTGTGGGACAGATTTCAAGAATTTGTTGAGATGGCAGCAAGTCAACCAGTACTACGTGGGAAGTGAAGAGGCGGCACATTCCAACTCAGCTTAGTCAAAACATATACCCAACTGACCTTGATGTTTCAGAGAACAGATCTCTCTCTCTCTCTCTCTGTTTGCCTTATCTGCACCTTCCAAGGAGGCTTTAAGAGCTATGCTGCCAGAACTAGTGTTGCCTAGATTGTTTTTAGGCCTATCAAGAGGACTTGGTTTTTGTTTAGGATCTGCCTGTTGCTCTGCAAATTCTCCTGCAGAAGCAAGTCACCCAGGGACCACATAGATCCTCCTGGGCCCTCAAGCCACCTTCTCCTGGGAAGCCCTTTTCCCCTGGACACCATTGCTTGGTGCTCTAAAGATTAAATTACTGTCAATGATAACTTTTAAGATAAAACAGGCTTATGGCTTTGGCCCACTTTGTCCCCTTTTGTTCCATCTGCTTTGTTTTCTTTTGCAAAGGTTTAATGGCTCCTTGTCAGAGAGAAAAGTAAGGACAAACAGTAAACAAAAAGACAAACAGTAAAATCTGTTTTGCAGATTTGAAACCAAAGGTTTGTCTCAGTAAGACCTGCATGAAGATAGTCCGTCTTTTAAGCAGGATTCACCCAAGACATTTTGGTGCTTGAAGCAGAAATACCCAATGGAAGCTCTGTCTCCTGGCCAGTGGTGCCTTGCTAGACGATGATAATCCATTCCACTGAAATCGCTGTTTAGCGAAATCATCATCTAGCGAAAAGCAGTTCCCCATTGGAATGCATTGAAACCTGTTTAATGTGTTCCAATGGGGAAGAATTGTTGTTGTCTAGTGAAGATCGGCCATAGGAAAGCCGCTGTTTAAATCGCTATCTTGCGAAGCTTAGGTCCCAAAAACACTTGTTTTGCGAGCGTGGAGGGACCTGTCAAAATCATTGCCTAGCGAAAATCGGTTTGCGAAGCAGGGACCAAACATTGTCCAGCGAAATTCCCCCATAGGAATCACTGTTAAAAGTCAATGTCTAGCGAAAAAAACTGTCATGCGGGGTAACTGTCTAGCGAGGCACCACTGTAGTCCGCTGAGGAACCTTGTGCCAGACACTCTACCAGGAGGATCAGGGTGGAATCTAGAGGCATGGCTGTCTCTGCCTTTGTGCCTCTTATCAGAGCCGAGGTCTGGGGTGTTTCCGTTTAGCAGGAAAGGCAGGAGCGTTCCACAGCCAGTAGCAGGGAATTGGGCACAAATCCACGGCAGGAAGCAGCACTTTCTTTGGCCTTCTGTGAACCTATCCGCCTACAGTTTCATTTAGTGACCACATGGGGTCTAGAACTATGACAGTTTCCGCTATTCCTACACCATGTAAACCTCAGCTGTCTCCACTATTGGCCACGGTGTGTAACAAAGAAAGAGCTCCAACCCCTTGATTATTCTGCTTGTCCTTTTTCGACTCTTTTTTCCCCCAGCTCTACATTATCTTCTTTTGCTTAGATGGGGGAATTAGTGTTTCAAATCTCCAGGCTGACTGAGAGGAGACAAAATGGGACAGGGTGGAGAGAGAGCCACAGACACGGAAATTCCAGTTCCAATTCTCTGGATCATGGGAGATGATATTCTGGTATTTCAGGTAGACACAACTGAGTGACAAATACAGTGGACCCTTGACTTACGGAATTAATCCGTATTGGAATGGTGGCTGCAGGTCAAAAAGTCTGTAGGTCAAGTCTCCATTGACCTACAGTGCATTGAAAACCGATTAATCCCGTAACAGGCCGTTTTTGTTCCATTTTGGTTTTTTTCTGGTCTGTAAGTCAATTCTCAGGCTGCAAGTCAAACCTAAATTTTGCGGCCAGATAAGTCTGTAACTCAAAAAGTCTGTAAGTCAAGCCATCTGTAAGTCAAGAGTCCACTGTAGTTCATACTTTAAAAATATAAACTCTGCATAAAGCGATCCATTTCCTACCAAGTACAACTAAATTCTGCAACCTGCACAATTTAAAAAATATTTTCCATAGTATACTCTGGGTTTGGTAGTCATGTAGAGTTAACACAAAACATCAAAGCTTTGTCCAAACCATTAGACAAAAGGGGTTCAGAAAGTATCTTCCAGCCACATTATATCAAGCATATAATAAGTATACTTATTATATAAGTATAATAATTATATATAATAAGTATATATAATAGGTATACTTATTATACTTATTATATAATAAGTATAATTATATAAGTAAGGAGTAGAAATCTGTTCCAATGAAAGCTGAGACTTCAAAGAATCTAATTCTGTGTCAAGTACTACATTCTGCACCTATATATAAATGCAACATATACACAGTTCTGGATATTCAGTATTGGTGTGCAAGGTACTTCAGTACATTCCTGTGGCATGTACTTATTTCCAACTCACTTCCATGCCCTGGATACATCTGCAGTTCCATTTTGTGGGAAAAAGAATATTTCATCTTCTCTTCTTCTCACTGACAGACCAAATCCACTCCTTAAACAGAATCCTACAGGATTTACATGATAAATAACAGAGGTTTTTTATGTCTTTGCTAGTCCAGAACACAAAAGAGTTGCTAGTCTAGAACACTAAACACAATATTTAATGCACTTTTGTGACACACCTGGTCAGTTCCCACCTTCTTTCATTTCTACTGGTGCTCCTTTAAGTCCCAGCTCCACTATTGCAGGAAAACATGTGTCCAGGGAAAGTGGCTTCAGTTCTACATACTGGTTTTAGAGAGCAGGTGGGGAGAGGAGGAATGGGGCAGGGTGCTGTGGAATCTGAAGGAAAGGTATCACTATGAAGTGGTCACTTCTTGCAGGAGGCAATGGATTTCCTGGAAGGAAGGACGTTCTTTGGTGTCTCGTCTCCAGCAGCTGAGCATTAGCTTATATAGAGAATCAGGACAAAATGTAGGCTGTGAAAGATAGATCTTAAATACAAAAAAAGAGAAAAGAACAGATATTGAAGATAGATCAATGCTTCTTTAAAAGTCATGAGAAGTACAAGTAAGTCATTGTACATTAAAAGTAATAAGAAGTAAAAGACGGTCGGAGTACGGATATGTCTAATGTCTTTCACAACTTCACAGGTTACACATCGGTCAGTTTTTGTTTCATGCTTGGTTGTTGGAAATAAACAATTGCATATTGACTGTGCAAACAAAGTAGATGTGATGAATAAGTATCTGCAGTGATGTGTTCATTTATGTACCATCAAGTTGGAACCTACTTATAGGGCTTTCACGTTACATGATATATTTTAGGAGGGGTGTTATCAGTTCCTCCACCACCACCCCATTGAGTTTCTATGGCTTAGTAGGGATTTGAACCCTGGTCTGAGTTCTACTCCTTCATTCTATCCACCACACCACACCAGGTAGCTATGTAATATTTTATCAGCTCTTAATTCCTCAGTGGCTCTGCTTCTCTCTTTTGGCTCTTTTGGTCATTTGCCCTCGTTACAGGCACCTGAGGGTTTAGAAGGCAGGGAGTTAGAAAACTATTGCAAGGTATCAGGACATTGGAACAAGGGCAACCCTTTTCTCATTTAAGCATTCAACATAATAATAAACAGTAAATGCACTGAAGTGTACAACACAATGAAGTATATAAAAAAGAGAAATGTCAAGTATTACACATTAGAACTAATACACAAATAGGGTTGGAACTTAGCATTGTGACACTAGGGCAGCTAGAAAAAAAATGCTCAGTGGGCACATTTGTTTAGGACATTTAGCATAATGCTCAGAAATGGGATCCTGGGCTGTTGCTCTTAGAATCACAGAACCATAGAATCATGGAATTGGATGGGGTCTGTAAGGCCATCAGGTCCAACTCCCTGTTCAATGCAAGAATCCAAAGCAAAATATATCTGACAGATTATTGTCTTTCTCTTGAATGCCTCCAGCATTGGAGTGCTCACCACCCTCTGACTGGTTCCATTGTTCTACTGTTCTGTCCAGCATTGGAGTGCTCACCACCCTCTGATTGGTTCCATTGTTCTACTGCTCTGACAGTTAGAACTTTTTTCCTGATGTTCAACCAAAACCTGGCTTCCTATAACTTGAGTCTATTATTATGTGGGATCAATCCTGCACCTCCTCTGTTTGATAATCATTCTGTTATTTGATGAGTGCTATCACACCACCCCTCAATCTACTTTTCTCAAGCTAAATATGCCTAGATATGTGTTCCTATTTTAGGTAACTTGCTGCAGCTAATTGACAAGGTGCTGACATGTGCCTTGGTTCCACAATTGGGTGCGTTACTGACACATATCCCAGCATCTTATCAATTAGTCACAATTAGCCCCAGCAAGCTAGTATTAAGTGTTACTGACACATATCCCAGCATCTTATCAGTCACAATTAGCAAGCTAGTATTAAGCGAACACTAATAGGACTGTAGCTTTTGAAATGAAGACAGTACATGCTGCCTGCCAGTGTTGTTCTTTAAACATAATGCATACTAAAAATGTCAGCACTTCAGGAAACATTTACTGTAATGATTCAACATTGTAATATTAAAACAAAATTCTGTGCTTGTCTGCTCTGAAGTTAACTTTGACTAAGGTTGCTGGGACTTTGCTGTTGGGAACCGCTCATAGTAGACAATGTCTGGATGGGTGGCATCTAAGTCCAATCAATCAATCAATCAATCAATCAATCAATCAATCAATCAATCAATCAATCAATCAATCAATCAATCCACCCAGGTGAGTGTGCATTGAATTGTAAGCTAACATGTACATAGATCCGAGTTGTTCCCATCCTTTATTCCCTACATGCCAACCAGACTATGACTCTCAGAATTCCTGACCATTGGACACGCTGGATGGAGATTCCCGCCATTGTAGTCCAGTGACATCTGGAACCCATGAGATGGCCAGGCCCATTTCTGTTAAGTAACATGGTAAAGCTATGTCTGTTGTGTCCACTCACACCTTTCCATACCTGCCTTCCCTGATCTCTGAAGAACTCTCCAGTGTTCTCAATTACTTGTTCATCTGACAGCTGACAGTATGGCTGCTCATGGCAGAATGTGAAGGTCTCCCAGAGTGTCACACCAAATGCCCACACATCACTTGCTGTGGTGAATTTCCCCTGGACAGAGAAAGAAACAGGTAAGAGACATCTTTCAGGCTGTGGTAAAGGTAAAGTTACCCTTGACATTGACATTTTTAGTCCAGTCATGTCTGACTCTAGGGGGCGGTGCTCATCTCTTTTTCAAGCCGTGGAGCCAGCGCTTGTCCGAAGACAGTTTCCGTTGCCACTTTGTCAGCGTGACTAGGGAACGCTATTTTACCTTCCCACTGAGGTGGTACCTATTTATCTATTTGCATTTGCATGCTTTTGAACTGCTAGGTTGGCGAGGAGCTGGAACAAAGCGACGGGAGCTGTGGTAAAGTCTGCTTTTATTCCTCTTTCAGCCCCTCTCAGATGGAGAAGAAGCACAAGTGGAATTGGAGCACAGAGAAGCTAGTATTTAAAATTCAGGTTTCCTCCAGTTTGATATTCACCTTGTGGCAATTTCCTATCCAAAAGAAATCTTGATAGGCCTTTTGCCTCTATTAATTCAATCACAGAAATAAAAGCACCAGAGGGAATATGTTACCTACTTTGTATTCATGCATGGGGAAAATACAACCAGGTAACATGAACAAAATTGGTTCCCCCCCCCCACAAAAAAAACCCTTTAGAATGTGTGCCTTTAATATTCTTTCCATCTGTGACCACTCTCCCTTCCCTTCCTGGGGGTCGTCCAGTTCTCCTGACTCAAAGGGGTAGGAATGGAGAACTATAGTGTGGTGCAAGTTGAAGTGCAAGGGAGGGAAATGCCACTGCCAATGGCATTTGTAGGAGTAAGGCTACATGAGAACGGTTGAGTCCTGCCAAACCTAGAAGTTTCAGAACCCCCAGTCATAGGCCCAAGACAGCTTTATGCCAAGCTCCCTATAGCCCTGGTGCCTCAATATTTCTTCAGGTTAGCTCAGGTGTACACTCTCAGAGGCTGACCAGATGTTTTGGAGTTTTAGCCTCTTTCTCTCCGGGGTCTCTAAAATGAAGGACTGAAATCTCAGTAAGGAGGAGTAGAAAGAAACTATGTGATGCTTGGTTTTGCTGTTTGATGTGCCCCTTCATACCGATCAAACCCCACTCCTGAACCACCAGGCACAGTTTGCTTCTTCTGCTACTGTTTTAAGGAACCTGGCTGTTGCCACCATTGTTCCTCCATCTTTCCTTTGATTGCCAATTTAGCTCTTTTGGGCCCAGCACACATCCAGTGCGGATGGACTTACTACACTCTTAAGGTGAGGCAGGTAAGGACCACAAGCAGACACAGATCCTGGCCACCACATCTTCCTTTTCACAAAATCATAGAATAATGGAGTTAGAAGGGGCTTATGAGGCCATCACATCCAACTCTCTGCTCAATGCAGGAATCCAAATCAAAGCAGATCTGACAGATTGTTGCCCAATTTTTTATTGAAAGCCTCCAGCGTCGGAGCGCTCACCACCTCCCAGGATCATTGGTTCCATTATCCTAATCCTCTTTTAATATTCACCACCTCCCAGGATAATTGGTTCCATTATCCTAATCCTCTTTGAATATGTTTTTCCTGATATTCAGCTTAAATCTGGCTTCATATAGCTTGAGCCCATTATTATGTGTCCTGCAGTGTTGGATAATCAAGAACAGATCATTCCCCTCCTCTGTATGACTACCAAGTATTTTAAAAGTGCTATCATATCTCCTCTCAGTGTTCTTTTCTCAAGATTAAACATGCCCAGTTCTTTCAGTCTTTCCTGGTTTCCAATCCCCTGATCATCCTTGTCACCCTCCTCTGAACTTGTTCCAATTTGTCAGCATCCTTCTTGAAGCTTGGTGTCCAGAACTGGACACAGTACTCAAGATGAGGCCTAACCACTGCTGAATAGAGAGGAACTAGCACCTCTTGGGATCTGGACACTATACATCTGTTAATGCAGCCTAAAATAGCATTTGCCTTTTTTGCAAGCTGCATTGCACTGTTGGCTCATACTGTATTCAGCTCGTAATCTACAACAACTCCAAGATCCTCCTTACTCATACTGTAATATTACTAAGCCAAGTATACAACAACTCCAAGATCCTCCTTACTCATAATATTACTAAGCCAAGTATCCCCCCCACTCCATCTAGTAACTGTGCATATGGTTTCCCCACCACCTAGGTCTAGAACTTGGCACTTATCCCTGTTGGATTTCCTTGAGTTGTTTCCAGCCCAGTGCTCCACTTTTCCCTTCTTAGTGCACCCTGGTTCAGCTGAATTTGATCAGTACTGGCTGCAAAAGAGGGCCAGGCAATGTCACTTGTCTCCCTGTGTTCACACTTCCTTGGTATGTCATTAAATTCTCCTCTTGGCATCTATGTCCCTTTCTAATGCAGGCATTAGTCCTCCCAGACAGCGTTTCTTGTTTCCTTCTTCTACCATATTAATCTTTATTATCTTGATTATTTTCTATGTTCTCTTTTTTCACATCTTTCTTCCACATCCGAAAAGCTTCTTCTTTATTCCTCCCCTCATTCTTTCCTTTCTCTCCTTTTCCCAAAATACTGAAAAGCTTCTTCTTTATTCCTCCCCTCATTTTTTCCTTTCTCTCCTTTTCCCCAAATACATACCTATCCAAAGATGAGCCCTACCATTGATGGATGGACCTGAACTGTGTTTTTGGAAACTCTTCCTGACTCAAATTAAGTTTTGTCTGCAGAAAAGAAAGATTCCATTTGATCAGGAATTCCCGCACTGCAGCTCAAGGACCTATCCTGACAGTCAAGCTCAGCGCTGGGTACAGGGCCAGCCTGGCCATTAGCATCAGAAAGGCGTTTTACTCCATTGGTGGGGTGACAGGGCAGGAGATCTAGCACCTCCATGCTCGTTGCTCTTCTCTCCACCGGGTACTTCTGAAGATGGCCTGGTCACATAACGAGCGTTGGGTGGAGCAGCCCAGGTCCTCCGTCATTTCACTGGGTGCACCCAAGTGGTTGTTCCGTCCTCCAGCCTTGACCTTCAGTTTTGCAAAAGCTATCTGTAGTTATTCTATCAATCCCTTGCACTTTGTCCTCAACAATGTTTACCTTATCCTATCCCTCTTCCTTTGCATTTGAACACTATAAACATATACACCTTCCCCCATACGTGTATAATACAGATTCTTACAGTTAGCATATTACTAGCTCCCAGAAATGACGTAGTCTACGTCCCGAGTAGACGTAGTCTAGAGGGGTGGCTAAAAATCGAATAAATAAATAAAATAACAGACATTGGATTGTCATAACATGGTCTCCTTTTGCTTTGGACCTTGAAAAATGATGCTTTTATTTTGCGATGAGTCATTGCAAGGTGGAGCAGTTCAATTTCTTCCACCCCTGGAGGGAGGGAAGGTCGCTTACCAAGAGGATGCTCTCCCATGACATCCAGCGAATGGGGAGCACGGCTCGGCCTTGGATTCTGTAGTAGTCTCCACTGTACAGATTCCGGCTCATGCCAAAGTCGGCTATCTTGATCGTGTAATTCTTTCCCACCAGGCAGTTGCGTGTGGCTAGGTCTCGGTGGACAAAATTCAGGGAAGACAGATACTTCATGCCAGAAGCGATCTGCGTGGCTATTAATTTCAAATTGTCATAGCTGAAGGAAATAAGAACCAGTAGAGGTGTTAAGTGCCATAGGCAATGTGGCCAGCAAAACCTGAAGGAGCAGGCAGCTTGCCCCTGACTTGTTAGATCTGGGAGCAGCCCTTCTGCAAACAGCCACCCACAGCCTACTTAGCAGAAGAGAGACAATCCAGGTGGGGCCATGGCGCAAGGGAGAAGCATTATCACAGTTTTCCTCCCACGCTTCTTCTGCTAAAGTTGATCTGTCCCCTGCATCACTGAGTTCCCAATGCTTTTTGTTGCTTAATTTTTAAAAAATGATATAAAAGAGGGAATATTTTTCGTGGAGGGAAGAACAGATTAGGGGTGAGGGGCCGTTATTGCTTTGTGTTTTAAAAAAAGGAACACTGCAAATCCCAATAATATGATTTAACAATGCATGCAAAGTTATACCTCGTCTGATATTTAGCATGGCTAACCAAATCAACCATAGTCTTGAGTAAAATATGGAGGTAGCTCAGCCTCTGAGCAAGATGCCACATAAGCCCTGTTTAAGATTCCCACTCTCCCAGCCACTTCCTCTCTCTCTCAGGCAATTTTCTGCCCTGGTGCTCCTTTCATTGCAGGCTATGTTCCTGGACAAGAGCTGCCCAAGGCAGTTCCTACTTTCTCCAAGTGTTCCTGAGACAGGCAGGAAGGCAGACAGACTGACAGCAGCAAAGTGAAACAGACATGGGGCTATTACAGAGTTGCCTAATGAGGCAGATCTCTTTTCCTCATGCCAGATCCAGGAATGGAAGGAGGGAAATAATAAATGACAGCCCAGGTAGGAGGCCACCCAGGTTAACACAACCTTTATTCCCTTTCACGCATCTGGCATGAAAATAAGGCAGTCAGCTGCTTCTTCTGTGCTTCTGTTCCTGACATTTCCCACCCACCCACCTTTCCTTACCTGGTGCAGGGGTAACAGCACTACAGTAGCCACCATCTTCTATCCCTGAAACGCTCTAGAAGCACTGACATGGAGAGGTGGCAACTTCTCAGACTAGTGCTCTTTTTTCAACTCTGGTCTTAAATGAAAACTTTCCTAAAATTACAAAATCTAGACACCAGCCTTGACAAGCTCCTCCAGTGCCCACTGGCTCTGGCATGTGCCTGATTGTACACATGCTAATACTATTTCTGGATTAAACCCACTGAGAGGTTCATATATGGTGTGTACTATAAGTGGGTCAATAAAAGGATGGTTCTACCCTGCTCCGTGGGACAGAACGGATGTTTCCCATGCATCGCTTCCTCTTTGATTTCCTTTGTTTGTATATCATTTCTATGCTACCTTTCTCCCATAAAGGTACTCAAGGCAGCTCACAGTAATTAAAATACAAGTAAAGCTAAAAGCACAATAAATTACTCAATTAAAAAACAACTAAAATATTATAGTATAAAAATAGTCATCTAAAAATAGAAGAACCTGAAAACATATTAAAATCATGAGACAAGGCTAATTAAAAATGTCTTTGTTCACACCGATTCCTTGTGATCGGAAGGATTTTACTTGGCCCTCTAATCTCATGTCAGAAATTGACCAAGAACAATCTTTGGTGTTGGAGCTAAATATTTCCTCTTTTCTAAGAGAACCGTCTACAGGGAAGACTGGAATAAGGTTTGGCTAACTAGACCCTACCCCATTTAGCTTAAAACTTAGGTTACCTAGGAATGTTTATATATATATATAAGAGACCTTTGGGTAGTGTGGGCGGCATATAAATCAAATAAATAAATCAAATAAATCAAATAAATAAATAAATAAATAAGCAAACAAACAAACAAACAAACAAACAAACAAACAAACTCCCTTTAGAGCCCTTCATATAGCACTACAGAAACACCCTTTTATGCACAAAGTTCAGCTATTTAATGCTGCTAGGATACAGGACACTTGCCATGCAATATGTGCACCAGCATTGACAGAACATATATTAGCTACCTGATAGGAGGAGTATTGCTGTCTGACAAGTCATGGAGTTCCTGGCGAGAGAGAAACTGATTGAGGTCACCATTTTCCATGTACTCTGTGATCATGCAGAGAGGGTCATCTGTGATGCAGACAGCCAGCAGCCGTATGATGTTGGGGTCCTTCAACCTGGACATAATCTTAATCTCTTTGAGAAAGTCATTCCTTCCAGATACAAAAAGTCACACAGATGTGGCATTAGTAGTGGTATGCTATGCTCAACAGTAGGAGCCCGTGTAATGTAGTACTAAAAAGACCATTAGGGATCAGTAAGCCTCAGGTTCAAATCACTCTCCTCGGATACACTGTCTCAGCCCTTGTAATCTCTACTTCCTCCAAGTAATCAAGTTGATGATGGGAGCAGGTGGGCGGAGAGATAATACTGAGTCTGTGAATGCCTTTCCATCACTGCCTAGTCACACCACATGCAATCCTCAGGGCTGTTACGGTTGCATACATCTGAACTGCATTAATATGATGTAAATGAATTGCTTGGAATTCATGGGCTATTATCCTATTCTGGATCGAAGCAACCAACATGAATTTGGCCCAGCTCTGGGAGGCAGTAGAAGACAGGAGGGCCTGGCGTGCTCTGATCCATGGGGTCACGAAGAGTAGGACACGACTAAACGACTAAACGACAACAACAATCCTATTCTGCACTTCCATTGGTGTAATGGGACTAGTAGCACTGGCAATGTCAGATGGCTGCTAATTAAAGAATTCTTGCTTTGATTTCAGGTTGCATAGGAAATCACCACCCAGTATCAAAGCAGGATCTCTTTAATTAGAATCGGTTTGCCACTTCCATGGAACAGGATAATGGCCATAGGAGTATTATGTCAGTACTAAACACAATAAGTATGAATGGCTTGACCTTTTTGGGTTTGTTACTTAAAGCAGACAAGCAACCTTGGCAACACATTGCTCTGTTTTCTGTGCCCCCACATGTTTTGGTGCATGAGGTAGAAAATCCAAATGGCAATTGCACATATCTGCTAATTAAGGCCTTAGTACACCAAGCAGTCTTCCAGCACATGCCCTTTTGAAATGAATAGAAGATAGCTGTTCATTTGTGTCACTTCAGAGTAAAGATGAGAAATTAGGTTCTAAATGCTCCTTTAGTTGTGAACAACTTGGATGTACATTCAAAACTAATGCCAACTCAGAGTGCAGGCTCAGCTATGATAGCCTCCAGGCACAGAGAGAAAACAGTCCTGTTTGGGCTGCAACACTCAGAAGACTCTAGTCATTATGGCAGTGGCTTCGTTGACTGAGGTTGGCTGTGAGTTGTAGACAAAAAAAGAGCAACATTTCCCATTTCTGCTTCCATGACACTATTTGTTAATAGGTGCAGGCAATTGTTTAAATATGCGGGGCACTTGATTCTGTAAGATTTGGTCCCATCATGCAGCAATCATTGTGTAACTTGCCTATCTCTGTCTGGAAATAAGAGTTTTCCTTGGATTCATTTATGAATAATACTGCCAATCAATACAGAACAGAGCTTAGTTACTAAAATTGCTCGCAGCTTATGTTCTTGTTCTTGTGGTTCCCAGTTCTGCTTTCCTCCATCTTAAGAGCCAGCAGGACCCTGACTCTTGCAGTAGCAGTGAAGTCTCACCATTCAGCAACAGAGCAGACAGAGTCTATCATTAGATCAGAGAAGGGACAAGACAGCAAATGAATGGAAATATATTTTAGATGTGCCTCTTTAAAAATAATGTTTTCTAAAGTTGCCTTCTCGCTGAAAGCATGAGAGGGACAAGAATGGAAGCTGAGCTAGCACTCATGAGCTAGCAGAGGTGTGTGAGAGAGACAATTTGATTCTCGTTGCAGGTAAAGAACTTGCTGCAACTGTTTTTAAGAATATGGCAACAACCTTCTGCTCCCCCGCTACATTCTTAAGCACCTGGCATTTTTGTTGGCATCAGCTCGCAGCATTTTCACAGCCAGTAGGACAGGCTGGCTTGGGTTACCATCCAGAACAGACTCTTTGTTCACAAACTTCTCCATGTTCTCCACTTCACATAGGTGGACCTAGGGAGCAGGCAACCACAAGCAGAAATTATCCGACAAGGAATTCTTCCACAGCTGTTTCAAGGGAAGGTGAGATGTTCAAACAAAGATCAGGATATCAATCCTCCCAACCTCCTCCTCATTCCCATCCCCACATCCAGCCCTATAAGGGGAGTCAGAAGGCATCCTAGATGTGCTGCCAATTTCAGAATAACGGCTGCTTGTGAATTTCCTGTACAGACAGATGTTTGGATTCTTCTCTTATCGCTCCACCAGACCACCCCCCTTCACCTCTTACAGGAAGCTTTATAGCCACAACAAAATTATATCCAAAAGTATTAACTAGACAGAGACATCATGACCACCCAGAAGAACAAGACCAATAAATAATGCCTGGATTATGCAGAGACCGTTGGGTAGCCAACTTGTGCCAGGCAGTTTGTGTGGCCCAAATAGACAGGGGTCCCCCCAGGGGGCAATGGGGGGAGAGGAGACTTGAATTTCTCCCTCCTTCTCCAGGAGTTCCTCAAGAAGCACACCTATCCACAAGAAGGTTGTATACCTACTATGTTGTGCCTTCTTAGAATATAACTTTTTCCTCTGACTTGACCTGTGCCACACTTCGGGGGGGGGGAGGGAAAGCCCACTGTTTTACTAAGGTACATTATGCAGAAGGTATGTAGGTTGTGGCAAATATTGATGGCTGATGTAGAGGAGTGAATAAGGGAGGGGTGACAAAGGAAGTGTATTGCCAGAGGGGTAAAACTGAACTAGAAGAGTTAATGCTTTTTTTCTCTGTTCATTCAGCTGCATTGGCTCTCATGCACAGCCATGGCTATGACAGTGGCCTGTCAATCTTGCTTCTGCCACTAAACTTGCTACTAAGCTCCTGTCTCCTTTAGCTTTTCCTCAACTTCTGTATCTACAATTTGGAATAATAACACTGGCGTATGTATTAGGGACATGTGTGTGTGTGTGTGGGTAGCAATGAAGGTCATCAGTTGTCCCTGATTTAGACTGAACCTTTTTAAAAAATCAGTCCACCATTTCTAACTGCTCAGTTAAGTTGATCAAGTAATGACATAATCCTACCTGAAATCTGCATCATGAATGTGCAGAGACATTCAAGAATGCAAATGGATTCTGGCTAGGTGTTTCCCTTCACCCCATGCTAACCATTGCATGGGGGAAGGGAAGGAAACACTTAGCCAGAATCCCTTTGGTATGCAAGGGCAACGGCACTCGGCTCTTCCAGGGAGCTGGCTACAGTTCCTGAGTCTGCAAAACTGGTTTGTCACTCTGCTGCCTTTATAGAGGTGTGGAGGGGATCCTGTAGTCTCAAAAGAGGAGTGAGTAACATGTAAGGTCGGGCAGGTTTGACCAATTTGCTAAAATGCCACATACAGGCCCAACAACAAACTGCATCTTGGGCTCCGTCTAATTAGCTACAGCTGCTATGAACAGAAAGGTGTGAGGTAATTGCAGTCTGCATGTGTTGAGGGACTGCCCCTACTGATAAAATTCCAGATCTTCCAGGTATTCAAGGAATACCCAAAGGGAAACAACTCCTCTGTTAGGTTTTGTGTTAATGAAGAGCCTTGTGGTGTGGTGGTTAAACTGCTGTACTGCAGCTAAAACTGTGCTCATGACCTGGGGTTCAATCCCAGGTAGGCGGCTCAAGGTTGACTCAGCCTTCTATCCTTCCGAGGTCGGTAAAATGAGGACCCAGCTCGCGGAGGGGGAGGGCAAAGTGTACCCTGCATAATTAACTTGTAAACCGCCCAGAGAGTGTTCGAAGCACTAGGCAGCGGTATATAAGCAGCACACTTCGCATTTTTTAAAAACTGTACTCTGCTTAGCCTTTAAGAAAGCAGAAGTGGAAGTGGCAGAAGCTCTCGTGTGGTTTTTAAAAGGTTGGATTGGCGTTACATCATGTGCAGCAACCAGAGCTGCTGCAGATTCAATCCAATTTTTCCTGGCAGTGTAGCTTCAGCCATACTTTCCCTCAGTCCTGACTTTGGAAACAACACAAAAATTTGGCAAAATTTATAGATCAGAAGGATGGAGGAACATTATCTTGTCATAGCTGCAACAACGGATTAAAACTACCTCTTTTGGTAATGTATTTCCCTCAGCCTTTCAAAGATTGAACATTTATTTCCTCTTGTTCTATTTGCCTTTAAATTCTTTTCAGTTTTGTTACTCTTGTGCGTTCTAGTTCATATTAGCTTTATTATCATACTCTGCCTTCAGAAATGTTTAAAAAGATTTTAAAGAAGGATGTAACAAACAAAACCTGAATTGCAAAGAAAGTTGAAAGTTGCCAATGGCAATTGTCTGCCTCTGTGTCCACATCGTTCTAGCCTGCATCATGAATTAAGAGCGTAACTGGTGAGAGGAAGGGTGCCCTTCCCTGTTTAGTCTGAGAATTATCCCTGGAATACTGAAAATTAATTCCTGAAGTGCCGACATAGATTACACTCATAATGTAACTACTGTAGCCTTTTTTCTGTCTCTGGAGTTATACCACATCATATAGTTTTTATTGTTTGTTCCCAGTTGCAGTAATCCTTGTAACATCATGGAAGGCGCTGTGGATCTGATGGAATGGCACAGTGGATTCTCACCTCCCCAAACTGGCCTTCTCCCAGCTTCTCCTTGAAAGTCAGCAGCTTCCTAGGAAACTCAGCTACAGCGACATCTTTCCCAGACAGCAAGTCCATGGTGATGGCAGGGACAGAATAGGTGTTGCTGCCTGTTACCCCCTGCAGGTTCACAATGTCTGCTTCCGCATAATGAGGGACTCCTTCAGCTCCAGTTGGCTGGGTTGGCTTGGTGACCCCACTGCTGCAACCTGGGAAGAGAAAAGCATTAATCACGGTCAGACCTACAAAGTAATAACTTGCGAATTAAATAATAATAATGTGCCATCAAGTCAGTTCTGACGTGGTGACTCTTTTCAGGGTTTTCTAGTTAGAGAGTACACAGAAGTGGTTTACCATTCCTTTCTTCCGGGGGCGCCCTGGGACCGTGCAGCTTGCCCAAGGCTAGACAGGCTAGTTACTATGTTTGGACAACGAGAGCACAACTACATTACCGTACATCTCAACAGCAATAAATGAGTGGGGTTGAATTCAGTTGTTTGGTGTGACTAGTAGGATTTTAAGTTTCTTATTTTGAAAGGGCATTTTAACTAAAGATGTGCAGATTTGTGTCTTTAGATACAACCCTCTAATTCCCTCAGTGGCTGCCTACGGAAGTCTGGGAGTTGTAGTGCAACACACACACCCCAATCTGTATATATCTAATTTTAAGGCATATTATAGGCATTTTGACTGATATTTTCCAGGTTTTATGTCATGCTTTCATCAGTTGGGGGAGGGCAAAGAAAGTAATAGCAAGTAACAAGATAAGCAAAGAGAGGCTGAAATAAGCTGAGTTTCTTTTCAACGTTTCAAAAGTAAAGACTAGATGGTTTTTCAAACACTGTAAAAATAGTGGGAAGTGTTTTCATAATGTTTAGGTTTAGGAAAAATATTTAACCCTAAGTTTAATAATAGTGAGGGTGTATGTGTCCTTTACACATAAAATTTTTAAAAAATCATGTGACAAAGCTGTGTTTCATGGTTTATAGAGATTCATAATTTTTTGCTTACAGATTAAAATGAATGGGTATTGTAACCTTTGATTGGTGTAAAGTGTAATCTAGAGTCTTGTCAAGAAGTGACTGTTAGGATAGAACATGGAGAAACAAACTTATGTCAGACTATCAATATTTAAAATTTTGTATGTATAAGGTTTTTAAAATATAGTTAAGGGATACAGAAAAAGTTCCACTGAAAATAAAAGTACATCTAAAAGTTTGGCTTGGAAATAGGTTACTATAGTCATTGCAAAACATTTTGAAGTACACTAGCTAGCTGCAGGTGAGCTAGGTCAATGAATCATAAACAATCTTGGAAGCTGAATGATGAGTTGGTTGTGATTTGTAGATACAGAGATGATGTATGCTTGTCTGACAGTTTGCACTTTTTGTAGTTCTAATGTGTTTGTGTTGCAATATTTGGCCTTTCCAAGATTATGAGTTTTCAAATCTTTGCTGCTACAAGACTTTGTACAGATTCTGCAAAAAATTGTTAGTCAAAACAAAAATCATTATCACTATAATGGTAACTCACTAGACTATAGATTACAGACCATTAGAGTCATAATTAGAGATGGGAACGAATATAAAACAGATTGGCTTTTTCGACGAAAATAGCTGATTCGTTGAATATTCATCCCTTCATATTCGTGGGTTCCAGAGACCCCCATGAATACAAAGGGATGGATATTTGCCCGCTTTTATTCATCCTTCCTATTATTAAAAAAAATCTGCCTACCAGCTGCCGATCAGCTGATAGCCAGCCACCCCAGCACAGCCACCCACTCCAACAGCCTACCCCCACACACCCTCCCTCTCCCTCCCTTAGCCACCAACCCACCCCCACTGACACCCCCTTATCTTAATGGCTGCTGCCGAAGTCTCATTCTGGCCCCCCAGCTGTTCCTTCATTCAGGGTAGGGAATGAAGGGTAGGGATTCCTTTAGCTTGCCTTAGCGAATCCAGGCTGCCCTTTGCAAAGATGGCAGCTGCAGCTTCCCTATCCTGAATGAAGCTGCAGACACAATCTTTGCAAAGGGCAGCCAGTCTCCCTTTTTACATGCATGGTTGGGAGGCCAGAAGGAGACCTCAGCAGCAGCCATTACGGTAATGGGGTGTCGGTGGGGGTGGGTTGGGGGCTTATTTATTTATTTATTTTATTGGATTTCTACCCTGCCCATCTAGACCAAAGGTCTAGTCTGGACGGCACTGCCAATATAAAAACAGTTAAACCAATAAACATAAACTATAAATCTAAGATGGTAAGCTGTGAAATTTAAGATACAGCAGGAGGGAAAGCCTGCCCAAATAGCCAGGTCTTGAGCTTGCTTCTGAAGACGCCCAGAGAGGGAGCCAGGCGGATCTCCATGGGCAAGTTGTTCCAAAAGTGAGGGGCCACTGCCAAGAAGGCCTGGTTCCTCATTCTTTCCTTCCGGACCTCCTGCAGCATTAGGCCCCTCAGCTGTCTGGCTTGGCTGGAATGAGTGGCAGAATTGGGTGGGAGAAGGTGCTCTGCCAGATATTGAGGTCCTAAACCCTTTAGGGCTTTATAGGTAATTGTAAGAACTTTGAAATCAACGCGGAAACGAATGGGCAACCAATGCAAGGTGGGCAGCATGGGGGGAGTATGTTGGTACCTTTTCACCCCTGTAAGAAGTCTAGCCGCCGCATTTTGTACCATTTGATGTTTCCGCATCAGTCTCAATCAAGCTAAGGTAGGGAGAGGAAGGGGGGCTAGGCTGTTGGGGTAGCTAGCTGTGTGTGTGTGTGGGTTGCCTATCTGCTGCTAATCAGCTGATTGGCAGCCAGTAGGCAGAATGGTGTTTTTCTTTCTTTTCTTTTCTTTAATAACCCCCCACGAATCGACGAATAACTTTGTTCTTTGTCGCTTCATGGGGGCAACTTTGTGCTTCATGAGTCCTAAGTTTTGACGGCTCACAAAGCAGGACAACTCGCCAAAATGGTGAGTCGTCCCCATCTCTAGTCATAATATATGCAACAATACAATTTCCTATTGAGTTTTTTTTTCCCTTGGAGTTCTAAGTCTTTGGACTTCCATAACCTGCAGATAAAGGTGTTTTTTAATGGGAGAAAAGGAAAACAACAGGTAGGAATTATAAATATAGGAAGATAAGACACATTCATTAATTCAACTCATCACAATTGGTTAGCTCCATGCTGTGCAACTCACACTGGATACCAACAACAGACAGAACCGAGCTGAAGAGCTGCGGAGGAGGAAAGATAATGACACAGCACAGAGAGAAGATACAGAAATCATGGTTTTTCCTCCATAGATTTTAATTGGCGGATGACTGGGTAAGCATTTAGGAAACACATTATCTTTCATGTGTGTCTAATAATTAGCTGTAGCCTTAGTTTAAAGGTTCAGAGGTTTATACTTTATACATTTTTATTCTTAAGAAAGTTGGTGTTTTAAAGATGTATTCTCTAGAAAAGAACCTGAAGTATAGAGGTCTGTTCCTGGAGATCGTAAGATCATCCATACTATGGGATTCCCAGGTACTAATGTGATAGTTGAAAAATGATTAAACTTGATAGGAAAAACAACTTATTCATTGAAAATGTGGCACTGGATAAGAGCTTTGTGGAACAAAAACATGGGCTCTAGATCAAATGAAGCCTGAATTATCACTAATAAGTAAAATGACTGCAGTTATCATACTTTGAACATATTATGAGAAGACAGGACTCTCTGTAACAGACAATAACAGAAAGAAAGTAACAGGGAAAGAACAATATCCAGCATGAGAGGGACTGACGCTATATAAGGAGCCACAGCTTTTAGTTTGTAAGATCTGAGCAAATATGCTAATGATAGGACCTTTTGGGAGTCATTAATCCATAGGACTGCCATAAGTCAGAAGCTGCTTGATGGCATATAAATACAGTAAAGCCCTTTTAGACTTCAAAGCTTTTAGTTGCTTAGGGCCTTAGATTCCTGTAGACAGCCTCTTTCCATCTTGAGATGTACGAATATTAAGGAGACAGAGCTTGGGGGAATGTTGTGACCCAGGAGCTCTAGTTATTGCTATAGGACTGCATTTCAATCCGATTCACTCCTTGGGTGCATAAAGCAATAATCAGAGGCTGAAGTTAAGAGAGAAGCTCTTCCTGGGCTGCAAGTGATGCTGCAGGTGATGCTGCTTAGGTAGGAAGGAGGCCAAGTGTGACAGTACTGACCTGCCTCTTCTTCTGCTAGGGCGAACTCTGGCAGCTTGCGGATCAGTCGGGTTGGCTCCTGGTAGTCTGGACCTAGGGGAAAGATGCGGTCATAGGTGCAGTTGGATTCTCTCTCACTAGACGATGTGGAGCGGTTGTGGTTGAACATACTAGACTCACTGGGTAGTGAGAGGCTGACCGTCATTTCATCATCCAACATCCGCCGAGATGCCTAGAAAATACATAGAGGTTTCTTTCTCACGATGAAATGAGCAGACAGAGAGAGTTGACTTTTGAATTGATGCAGAGGTAAAGTAAACTGTACTAACTTTTCTTAACGAATGCACACAAGCTTTTATGTTCATCTCACCTGTTTGCATATCATAGTTATGTTAAAACACCAAAAGAGGAGGAAAGGATGGCCCTACCAGTACACATTTCTACCCCAATAAAAATAACTAGCTCTAGATAATGCATTCAGCTATAATATAAATTGACTTGATTCCAAAAATGTGCTTTATGGTAGCGATGGGGAGGGGAAGCTTCCAATATTCTACTGATCAGACCAATTTTGGGAGCCCTAGGTTACCTGCTCTTTTATTTCTGGAGTGAAGCTAATAAATTAAGAATTTGGCGTTGTATTGTTTTCCACTGGGACTTTTGTGCAGAGAACTTGCCACAGTTTTCAATTTATTTTTGTCTTTCCCCTCCATCGTCCTCTAATACTTAGGATACAGGAAAGAATAAACTAAAAGAGTAGTGTATTTATTAAATATCATTTGCAAACTGGCAGTGTAGAGGTTGAAGAAGAAATAGGTACTTACAGAAAAGGGGAACAATATGTTCTGATTCAAGCAATCAAGTCTTACTATGTGGAGGATACAGGAATTAACATACAAAAGGAGTAAGAAACGTATTAAAATAAAAATGAAACTATTTGAAAGCAGTGACTTCCACACACAACAAACTGAAATAATAAAAAAGCTTGAAACAGCACAATATATTAGCTTAGTCCAAGTGGAAACTTCTAGTTCTTTCTAAGAAAGTTTGCTTCTATAATTTTAGTTTGATCATAGACTCATACGCTAGTTCTTTCTAAGAAAGTTTGCTTCTATGATTTTAGTTTGATCATAAACTCATAAAATAATGAAGTTGGAAGGGGCTTATAAGGCCATCAAGTCCAACTCCCTCCTCAATGCAGAAATACAAATCAAAGGATAACGGCCAGGTAGCTGTCTAAATTTAACTTGAATGCCTCCAGTGTTGGAGCACTGGTTCCATTACTGTACTGCTCCAACATTTAGGAAGTCTTTCCTAATGTTTAATTGAAGTCTGGCTTTCTGTAGCTTGAGCCCATTATTATGTGTCCTGCACTCTGGGATGATTGAGAACAGATCCTACTACTCCTCTGTATATTAACTTTCAAATATTTGAAAAATGCTATCCTATTGCTCCTCAGTCTTCTTTTCTTAAGACTAAACATGTTCATTTCTTTCAGTCTTTCCTCATAGGGCTTGCTTTCCAGACCCTTGATCATCCTTGTCACCCTTCTCTAAACTTATTCCAATTTGTCAGTATCTTCCTTGAAATGTGGTGTCTAGAACTGAACACAGTACTCAAGATGAAGCCTAACTAATGCTGAATAAAGGGGAACTAGTTCATTACAGAATTTGGAGACTATGCTTCTATTAATGCAGCCTAAAATAGTATTTGCCTTTTTTGTAGCCACATCACACTGTTGGCTCATATTCCGCTTGTAATTTACAACAACTCCAAAATCCTGCTCACTAGTAGCACTGCTGAGCCAGGTTTCCCCCGTCCTGTAACTGTGTGTTTGGTTTCTTTTTCCTAGGTATACTATCTTGCACTTTTTCATTCTGTTGTTTTCAGCACAGTGCAGAAGCCTACCTAGATCATTTTGAATTTTGTTTCTGTCTTCCAGGGTATTTATTGACTATTCCAACCAATTTTGTGTCATCCACAAATTTGGTTAACATTTCCTGCACTCTCTGATCCAGGTCATTAATAAAGATATTGAAGACTGGTACCCCACTTGTTACCTCCTCCCAGTTTGAGAAGACGTCATTAATAATCAACCACGGAGTATGATTCTGTAGCTAATTGTATAACCACCTGACAATTGTTCTATCCAGCCAACACCTAGTTAGCTTGCTAATCAGAATATCATGAGGCACTTTGTCAAAGGCTTTCCTGAAGTCAAGATATGTTATGTCTACAGCATTCCCACAATCTATTAGGGATGTTATTTTTGTTATGTCTACAGCATTCCCACCATCTATTCGGGAGGTTACTTTATCAAAAAATAAGATCAGATTAGTCCGGCATAATTAGTTCTTGATAAATCTGTTTTAGCTTCTAGTTATTACTGCATTGTTTTCTAGGTGCTTGCATTGTGATCGCTTTGTAATCTGTTCCAGAATTTTTCCTGGGATTGATGGCCTGTAGTTCCCAGCTCCCTCCATTTTGCCCTTTTTGAAGAAAGAGAAAACACTAATCATCCTCCAAGTCATCTGGCACCTCACCCATTTCTCATGATTTCAAGAAAATAATGGACAGAAGCTCTGAGAGCTCTTCAGCCAATTCCTTCAGTACTCTTGGATGCAGATCATCCAGCCCTGGAGATGTGAACTCATTCAAGGTAATTCTTGACTAGTCTTGTCCGCTCTACCTGCACTTCACATTTGTCTGGAGGGTCATAGTCTGTCCTTTGGGAAAACACTGAGCAAAAATAGGAATTGAGTACTTGTGCCTTTTCTTTGCTGTCTGTTATCATTTTTCCATCTCTACTGAGTAGCTGAGCCACTATTTCTTTTCTTTGTCTTTTACTACGAATGTGGCTGATGAATGCTTTTTTGTTGCTTTTTATTGTCTCTAGCTAACCTCAGCTCATTCTCAGCTTTTGCCCTCCTAAAGCCATCCCTGTAGTTCTTTGCTACTTGTCTGTACTCCTCCTTTGTGGCCAGGCCTCCTTTCCACTTCATATATGTATCTTTTTGTCCTTTGTGGCCAGGCCTCCTTTCCACTTCCTATATGTATATTTTTCTATATGTATCTGTGAGATTTTTGTGAAGCCACACTGGCCTCTTTTTTTTGTTTGTTTCCCACTTTCTTTCCTCTCTCTCTCTCTTTTTTTTGTTTGTTTTTTTTGTTTACCACTTTCTTATCTTGTTGGAATTGTTTTTCATTGTGCATTTAGAAGTTCTTTAAAAAAAGAGAAATTCCTACCTTTTCTTATTAGGATCTCCTGCCAAGGGAATTGCTTTGAGATTATTAAAATTGACTTTTTTTAAAAAAAATCCAGCATATATGTGTGGCTACACTCTGCTTTGGTTTCAGTTACAAGATGGGGATACCTGGCTCAGTAACACTACAAGCAAGAAGGATCTTGGAATTGTCATAAATAACAAGCTGAATATGAGCCAACTGTGTGATGTGGTTGCCAAATCTCACGAGATGCTAGTTCCCCTATATTCGGCACTGGGTAGGCCTCACCTTGAGGAATGTGCCCAGTTCTGGATCCCAAACTTCAAGGAGGATGTTGACAAACTGGAACAAGTGTAGAGAAGCGTAACAAGGATGATCAAGGGTCTAGAAACCAAGCCCTATAAGGAAAGACTGGAAGATCTGAGCACGTTTAGCCTTAAGAAAAGATGATTGAGGAGAGATATAATAGCACTTTTTAAATACTTGAATGGCTGCCATGATAGCACTTTTTAAATACTTGAAAGGCTGACATGCAGAGGAGGATCTATTAATCATTCCTGAGTGCAGGACATGCAATAATGGGCTCAAGTTACAGGAAGCCAGATTTCAGTTGAACATCAGGAAAAATGTCCTGTTTGAGCAGTACGACAGTGCAACCAGTTACTTCGAGAGGTGGCGAGTACTCCAACACTGGAGGCATTCAAGAGAAACTGACAACCACCTGGCAGATACCCTTTGATTTGTATTCCTGCATTGAGCAGGGGGTTGGACTTGATGGCCT